CTTCAAGGCCATTGCAGTGATGATGATTCTTGTAGCTCAGGCATATCCTAAAACAAAACCTGGGCTTTGTAATAACCACGAGAGCCGCCTCTAAACCTTGCAGCAGGCAAAGGAAGGTAATAAGTGACGTCATATTGCATCAGCCAAAGTCCTGACAAGTTGGCTCTTTCTTTAGAGCACGGAGGAGCGTGCTGGATTTGTGTTTTAGTCCACAGCTCTGTAAGAAAGCAACAAAGAGTTGATCCCTACACTCAGACTGAAGTGCTGTTCCCTCCTGTTCAAACACTCCCATTCATCCCTCTGTCTCCTTTTCATGCTATTCCATCAACGTGCAGTCTGCACTTGCACGCTGCTCTTCAACCTGGTCTCCTCCCTGGCCATGTTCTGTGTGGACTCCTCGAATGGTGTTGGCCTGGGCCTCGCCATCCTCTGGGGTCTCCTCTTCACCCCCTGCTCCTTCGTCTGTTGGTACCGACCTGTGTACAAAGCCTTCAGGTGTGTGTGCCACCATCAACATGAGGAACTTTTATCCATCACTTGCTGTTTTAAGTTTTTGTACACGACAAGCTAACAACATAAAACATAAATGGCTTTGAGCTGCTTATTTTGCTTTGTAATAATATTTCTCTTTTCTCTAGGAGTGACAGCTCCTTCAATTTCTTTGTCTTCTTCTTCGTTTTCTTTGCCCAAGTGGTCGTCTCTGTCATCATGACTATCGGTATCCCTGGATGGGGTTTCAGGTACAACTAATAAACAAACCCATCTCTGTGTTAGACAGATGCACGACTCTTCCCAGTTTGTTTCCTCTGTTTATTTCTCTGCGTCTCCTCTCCTCAGCGGGTGGATCGTGAGCCTGGCTGCTCTGAAGACCAGTGTCGCCGTTGGAGCGATCATGATGATGAATGCTGTCCTCTTTACTGCCCAAGCCGCCATGGGGGTTGTCATGCTGAAGAAGGTAAAAACTGAATAAATTTGTTTACATGCAGGTAAAACTCACAGCTAGTGACTCAAATTAAGGTTGTGTTTTTGACAAGGTGTCAGTCACACTATCCCCTGTGTCTAATTCGGGATGTGAACAGGAGAAACATGATTGTTCATGTCCCTACAGACATGATCTTAATGGTATCCAGGTGTCTGATCATCTGCCTGCAGGTGTGTCTTAAACCCTGAACACCTCAGCCACTCGTCTCTGAGGGCAACTTTTAGTCTCTGGTTGTTTGAGCTCTGCTGCATTGACAGCTCTGCAGGACTCTCCTGGGTTATGTTATCCTAATTTATTTTCTTCATAATGATTCACCGTCATTTTATTTTACCCACTACTATGTAACTTAGAGTGGATAATGCACCTTCCCACACGCACAGAATGATCAGATACCTGGATGAGGTATTTATAGTACATACTAGATTTTTGGGTTCTTCGAAGCTGGCTTTATTTTTATCTGGGGCTGTTGTCGAAGCAACAAGTCCTTTAGCACAAACCTGCAGAGGGGCAGGCTCATTGGCAGTTAGCTGGATCATGACCCAGACAGTTTACTGTGAAGCACATATATGAAGTCATTTTCACATTCAGATGGTCTGCTTTCTTAGATTTATAATGTAAGTGTTGATATAATGATTTTAGATAATGACATGCAGGGTATTATAAAATCACAATGATCTCTAATTATCACAATCACATTTTTATAATGAAAACTAACTTATACTTACATGTTAAAACATAATCAATAAAATTGCATGTGAGTTGCCAGCAGTGTTGGAGATATCGGACGTAGAGATGTCTGCCTTCTCTCAGATATTATGGAACTACATGGCACTCAGCTTGTGGTGCCCAAAAAATTTGTAGGATCTATTTTCTTTCTAAGGATTTACACCCACCAACCGTATCACTGCGCAGAAGGAACCATGCATCTACTCATGGACGAGAGGCTTGTTGAGTTTTTCAGACATAATTTTTGTTGCTTTGAGCACCACAAGCCGAGCACCATCTAGGTCCATTATATTGGAGAGAATGTGATAATTTGATGTCTTGTCTTGCTTACGCATTTTATGTGGACCCCAGGAAGAATAGTCATTACTGCGGTATCAACTAATGGGAATCTGGAATAACGAAATAAAGAAATATATTGGAGAGAAGGCAGGCATCTCTATGGGTGATATCTCCAAAACTCGGTAACTACACTAAAACAATCTAGACTGATGAATAGCACTAATTTGTCATTAGGAAGGAATTTGTCATTTGAGCACTAAAATGTATTAAATGATTGACTTCAAAACTCACTTTGCTGAAATTTGTTTTTGTCATTTAAAGCTGTTTTTAGTAAGGTTTCATTTTCATAACAGGGTTAAAGTTACTGTTAGTTAGTTGATGAAACAGTGGAAACAGTTTGGAACATGATGTAGAACAAAATGACACCAGTGACAATGCAGGAACAACTGAGATACTAGAGCACGTTAACATTCATTGTTAATGTAATCACACAAAAGGCAAATGAATACTTAATTTTTAGTTCATGTAAAATTCTTATTTAAATCCAATCAACTAGTGAAAGTAGGTGTGTAATAATGTTTAAATATTAATGTGCACTGTGCCTGTAAATGCTTTCAGGTTAAATTAATGGTAGACAATTAGGAGACACTGCGGCATGATGTAGTGGGTCACTTTTATGAAATAGGTCAAAGGAAGAAAGGGAAATCAGAATTGCCAAGCTGGCTTTCCACTTTCACTGATCTGTGGAAATGCTCACAGCAGCTGTGCCCAGGTGGTCCACCTGCCATGAAGCTGTCAGTAGATAACAAACAGTCTGAAGAATAGCCACGATATCAGGTTCTGCGTATCGTTTCCACCCTCACAAATGTACATGATATGAGGATGAATTGCCGCGTGTATCGGGTGTCAGCGTGCTCTGCTCGTCTTCTCTTTAGGTCCACAGTCTGTACAGGCAGACCGATGCCAGCTTTCAGAAGGCCCAGGCCGAGTTAGCCACAGGAGTCATGTCCAATCAGGCTGTACGCCAGGCCGCTGCCAATGCTGCCACCAGCGCCGCCACCAATGCTGCCCAGGGGGCCTTCACTGCGCCTCGGTAGAGAGGGACGAGAGGGGTTGGGAGGGTAAGAAGTGAAGGAGGAGGAGGGCCCTTTCAGCTTGATAGAGGATCTGTTAGGTATTTATTTCCCCACAGATGATTAGAATTTTATTGGTGGGGGGAAACTGAGTCTGTATAATTACCCCTGAGCGACTGAACTACAGGGCACTTGCATGAGACAGAGGTGGGGTTGTCTAGTTTCTAAAGGTGTACAGGACAAGTTAGCTACATTGCCAAACCAGGAGTCAACTAATCATGCGTGTTGACTCAAGAAACAGAAAGAACGTATGAAATGTGAAAACGATAAGAAGTTGAAGCTGTATGAAATTTAGCCCAGTCGTACCAAGTGTCGGTGAATGCAGGGACAATGCTTTTTGTTTGGGTATTAGAAAGACAAGCTGTGTGCCAAGTAGGACAGTTCTAGCCTGGATGAATTTTAAATGACTTGGATGTACATTATGTTTACAAGGAGCCATGTTTGAGAATAATGAGTCACAGCTGAACACTGAAATGTCGCCATTCTAACATTTGATCCATAACTGAGTGGCTCAACTTTGGCCAGCGCTTGTTTTTTGTTGCTTATGTATAAACTAACGCGTTGTTTTGTTATTACTCCAAATGAAAATGCCTGTTGACCTTATTGCCAAAACTTCTCATACTGTAAAGATTATGATCATGTTGTTTCAGTTAAACTATATCTGTCACTGTTCTGTTGGTGCTGCTTGTGGTTCTTATGATTATTACAGGTCACTGTCTTGGTTTTAATAAAATATAATGTCATGCTTACACAGTCTGCTGTGTTATTATTGCCTTAACCAACTGACAAATTAATCAATAAAATACTGTATTTTGATATTGTATTTATGTTTGAAATTGAGTCAAACCTGCTTCAAAGGAGCAGTGTGTAGGATTTAGTGGCATCTAGTGGTTAGGAGTGCACACTGCAACCAGCTAAAACCTCTGCCATGTACTCCTGATAAAGATGCCTTCAGTGTTCATTGTTCAGGAGGTTATTACCAGGAGCTGAAATATCCGTAGAGGTCTCTATCGCCCCAAAACAAACGGACCAGGTGATTAAAGCCTGTAAAAACACAGAATACAACATTTGTACATTACAACTCAAATGTTTGTCCCACGCTGTTTGGCCTCACCTGCTAACTTGTGCTCAGCTTTTTTCTTTCTTAACTCGAGCTCCAGACATTCAGGAAGTTTTTACCAGGAGCCGAATTATCTGCAGAGGTCTCCTCCTCTCCAAAACAAATGGACCTGATGATTTAAGCCAGTAAAAACACTGAATAAAGCAGGTTCACGCTAAAAATCAGTGTTTTTCCAACACTGTTTGGCTTGTCGCTGAGAGGCTGCTAGCTTGGGTGACCAACACAAAAATGCAAATGGCCCTATAATGAGCCAGTGTTTGGTTTGTCTGTTATGGGACTACTGTAGAAACATGGCGGTGCAATATGTCGGACTCCATGGACAAGGACCTCCTCCCTAAGTAGATATAAACGGCTCATTCTAAGGTAACGAAAACACAGTGATTCTTTATTTGAGATGATTATACATTAAAGAAATCATTTATTATATTACATTATTGCCAATGTATCCCCCTAAATCCTACACACTGGACCTTTAAGCAAGTTCAATATCCAGCATATTTGCTAATATGTAAACCATATTAATGTTTTTATAAAAGAGAGTATCTCCTTTAAACATTTTTATTCTCTGGCGACACCCAACATATTTGAAGGAAACTGCATCCGTGATCCAACTTGTTGCTTTTTGAGCTCTTGGCTGCTTTTAGCTACTTGGTCTTTGCAAATCTGACCACATCAGGAAGCTGCATATTTAAATCTAAGGAGTGTGTTGTCTGCTTGTTCATGATATCAGTGTGCCATCTGCAGCCTGTGTCCCAGACACTAAACCCTGGGACCGCTCTGACCCGTCGGACAGAAGTCTGAGACACACTGACGTCAGGCACTGCGCGTCACCGTGAAGATGGCGGAGGCTGCGGACACACCACAACACCGGTTTTTCTGTCACTGCTGTAAATGTGAAACAAACCCCAAACTCCCGGTGAGTCACTTTGGAAAGTGTTTTTATTCCTGCGTGCAGGCCTGGGAACAATCCACGCTGGCATGGACGGACGGTTATAGATTTTCAGAGCTCTTTCTTTGTTTTTTTATTTAACTGGTTAATTTTAAACAGTTTGCTCTAAAGTTATTATGAGTTGGATCACTAACGCACATATATGGCCGCCTGTTGGTGGTTGTTTATGTGCGCAGAGCAAGATCTTACATTAGACAGAGAGAGGGAGTGAAATCTGGTGATTCACGTTGCCATATTTAGAAGCACCACTGTTGGCGACTGTGTCCAGTTGTCTTCTGTCAACTGCGAGTGAGAGAGGTAGGAGGGGTCGGCTGGGTGTCACCACATGCACCAGAAGCGCTTCCTAAACCGTTAATGCCACAGATCCGCAAATAGGTGCTTTTAACCCCTGACGCCCTGTTTTTGTCCTGGTTACGCCCAACTGAAAGACATAGCCTAACTGTTAAACCTCTACTGTCTTTGTTTGAGATTAATTTCTCCGGGTGGTTCAAATCAGAGCGCGCTGTGTGTGAGAACCACTGTTGGAGCGCATTTGTTGCGCAGCTGACACCTTTCTTGGCACGATTACGCACGCGTATTGTCATGATGGAGCGCACGTGTGTTTGTGTGTGAGAGAAATACAGTGAATCAATATGCAATATATGGCCAAAAATATGTGCACACCCCTTTGCAAATATGAGTATTCTATTTTTAAAGATAAGTTGCCTTTATTTTTAACAGAGACAGACAGGGAACACAGGGAGAGGGGTAAAAGGGATCAGACCGGGGACACGGCAATATGTGCGTAACCTGAGCCACAATGAATTTGGTGTACTTTTCGTCAGTTTGAAAAAGGTCATTTTCTTTTTCAACATGAGAGTGATCTGCTGTGACCCCGTGGTTAAGATGCAGACCATTAAACTGCAATGTCCCCATCTTTTCTGTCTGTATCCACGCTGTCGCTGTCTACTAATATATCCAAAAACATCTTAACATGGCAGTCACCTCATCCATAGTATGAGAGAACTGACTGGTCCGGTCAGACCTCTGGCCTCAGCCCCATCCAAATCATTTGGGCTAAACTGGAGCACCGACTTCGGGCCAGGCTCTGACCCGAAACACCCTGCTGCCAAGTCCCAAAACCTTGTCAAACGTCTTCCTAGAAGCAGTGGTGCACCCAGAAAGTTCTTGTAAGGGTGGCCAGATGGGGCCACCAGAAATTTTGGGGTTTCACACCAAAACCAAAAGCCATAGCTGAATTGCAGGGATTCGATTATGCTGCTGAAGTATATTGGCTGGTTGAAAGTTAAGGAATTGCATACTGACTAATTCTGGTTCAGTTAACATCTTGAGCTTCTTATGTATCTATACATTTTTGGCAATTAATTGTTCTTCAGATCGGCTGGTTGTCATTTTCCTTAAAAAGACAAATACATATAAAACATTTACTTGAAATGTTGGGGGAGACTCGTGGCTGTCCATAGAACCCATTTTTATGCAGATATCTTGAGGTGAGAATTCATCAGATCCCTTTGAAAATGGCCATGTCAGTCGTTCCTGAACAAAATTCAGCCTTAATTTGGAGCATTATTTAACCCATCTCCTGACAAGCTATGCCGACATGTTTGGTACCAATGGATGCCTTATAAGTTATCTAGTTTCACAAGATGCCTTTGCACTAGCTTAGAAAAAAAGTGCGCCACGCCATCTTAAAAACAGTAATGTCAGCTGCCAATTGATTTAGTCGGGGTGCCAGCGGATGGCCCAGCAATCGTATCAGGGTGAGCGTGGCCCCGCCTCCCAGTTTTGGAGTGAGAGGTTTAAATGTCCACATTCTTTTGGCCATGTTGTCGGCTTCATATATTTTTTCTCTTCAAGGATTTCGTCTGTCCCAGATGTGACTCCGACTTCATTGAAGAGGTGACAGAAGACTCGAGGTACAGCTCGGTTCTGATGTATAAATTTAGTGTTCTTTATACTCTAATTATAAGAGTTTAGTTTTTACTTTACACCACTGTAATTAAAACAGATTTCTATTTTGCTGTCTAGTCTCCTGCAGAACAACACATCAGCGGCCAGTGAAGAATCAAACTCGTTGTTCTCAGACGTATGTCCGTACAAATGGCATTTTAATACGTACACTCCTCTTCTTCTGAGGCTTTTGTTTGACACATTGCTTCTCTGCTCTCTCTCCAAGTTATGGCAGCTGCTGTTCATGGAGCGCTCTGCTCTGCTGTCGCATCCGCCCTCCTCAGAGTCTGACCCAGATGACAGCGAGCAGGTATCTGCAGGTCAGAGCCGTCCTTCTCCAGTGCTGCCGAGTGCTGCCGAGGCTGGAGAACCAGAGTCTTCTTCCCAGTCTGAACAAGAGAGGTCATCCAGGCCTGAACAAAGGCCTGCAGTGGAAGGGTGTGTGGACATGGTACACAGAAACATCACCAGTGTGTGCTGACAGTGTAAAAATCCTCTAGTGTGCCAGCTGTTTATATTTCTTTCAATTAATGGCTTGTGTTTAACAATACAAGGAAATAAGAGGTTAGAGGCAGATCCACCACACAAACAGCTGTGTTTCTGCACAGATCTTAATTCATAATTGTCTTATGAACAGAAATGTCTTTCGTAGTTTCTGCAGGGTTATGAGTTTCTGTAAGTTTGGAGCTCTTTTTGTATAATGTGTAACACTTTAGTAAGCTTCCATACTTCAGAATCCTTATGTAAAATCATTATTCTTCATCTTGTGCAGTCAGTGTCAGACAGTATGCTGTAATACCCTCCTAATCTGTTGTATGCCTCGTCATTTTCACTGAAGAAAACAGCTGGATGCATCAGTTGATTTACTAACATATGGCATGAATTCAAACTGCTGAATACACAGTAAGATGTGTGTTTTGAAAGCACACTGAAGCAGACATCTCTGCTGTCTGTTTTTGCCTTTTCAAGGATCGTGCAGCAGTTCCTGGCTGGCCTGTTTGCCAACAACGGAAACCCTGGTGCTGCCCCAGCTGCGCTGTAAACGCTTCTCAATTCTCGTTTCACGTCGTTTACTTTTGATTTCGTGTGATGTTGTGTGATAAACTCACCTTGCCTCTGTCTCACTTACTGTTGGTCTCTCAGATCCGGCATGCTACAGTTGCACTCAAACCCTGGGGATTACGCGTGGGGTCAGGGAGGTCTGGACGCTGTCATCACAGAGGTCAGTTTTAGCGTGGATTCCTTCCTCCTATTACTACCAAGATACAAACTGATCTTCTCTCATGCTTTTATCCATCCAATTGAAGTCTTTTGTCTCTGTTTCCCTGTCTCTGCCCCGTCATGTCTCCACCTATACATCCATACTCTATGTTTCTTCTCCCACTCACCTAGTTGTTAGGACAGTTGGAGAGCACAGGTCCGCCCCCTGCAGAAAAGGAGATGATCTCATCCCTGCCAACAGTTTGCATCTCTCAGGAGCAAACAGGTAGCAATCCCAGCAGGCCATACTGCACACTTTCCTTCCCCTTTCCTATCTTCTTTTCCTCCTTCTGTCCATCTTTCCTTTCATTCTCTCATCTTACACTCTCTTACCCCTTTTGTCTATCCTGTCCTCAGCTTCTCTCCCCTTCCCCTTCTTTCATCTCTCTTTTCTTCCTCCTGTCTCTCCTTTCCTCTTCTCATCTTCCCATCCCTCCTATTTTGCTCTCCTTCTTTCCTATCTCTATACTTCTTTCATCCCTGGGGTGCTTTTCATAATGCAAACGTATCTCCTTTCTACCCTCACTCACGTGTCTTCCTCATGTCCTCCAGTGAGGATGTGAGAGAGAGAGATGAAAGGAAGCGACATATATGATACACCTGTGTTTTCTCACTCCCAGCTCCTACAGAAACCTCCTCTCTCCTCACTCCTCATCTCCTCGAGGTGCATTTAAGGGGTTGGAAGATCCTCAGTAGCAGCAGAGAGGGAACAATTTCAGCATGGTCTTGGCAGGAGCGAGGATGTGAGGGGGCATAAGTTACCGTAATGAAAAGCACACCATGTTTCCTTTCCGCCTTCTGTCATTCTTTCCTTCCTCCTATATCTCTCTTTACCTCCTTGTATCTTTCCTTCTCTCCTCATTTCTTACATTTCCTCCTCTTACTTTTCCTCCCTCCTCCTGGCTTCCCTTGCATCTCTCTTTCTTTCATTGTCTTCTTCTATCATTCCCTCCTTCCTCCTATCGTTCCTCTCCCCTCACATCTGTTCTCTCTCATATCTTTCTATTCCTCTTCCTATCTTTTTAACTTCCTTTTATCCTTCCCTTTCTCCTCATCTCTTTCCTTTCCTCCTCTTTTTTCTTTCCTCCTTTTGGCTTTCCTTGTATCCCTATTTCTTTCTTTGTCTCCTATCATTCCTTCCTTTCTCCTATCTTTCTTCACTTTCTCTACTTCCTTTTACCTTTCCCTTTCTTCTCCTTTCTCTTCTTTCCTCCTCTTAGCCTACTTTTCCTCCCTCCTCCTGGCTTTCCTTGCATCTCTCTTTCTTTCATTTTCTTCTTTCATCATTCCCTCCTTCCTCCTACTTTTCCTCTCCCCATCACATTTGTTCTCTCTCATATCTTTCTATTCCTCTACCTATCTTTTTTACTTCCTTATATCCTTCCCTTTCTCCTCGTCTCTTTCCTTTCCTCCTTTTGGCTTTCCTTGTATCCCTATTTCTTTCTTTGTCTCCTTCTATCATTCCTTCCTTTCTCCTATCTTCCCTCACTCTCTTTACTTCCTTTTATCTTTCCCTTTCTTCTCCTCTCATTCCTCTCCTCTTACTTTAACTTTCCTCCTCCTAACTTTCCCTGCATCCCATTTTCTTTCCCTTTCTCCTATCTTTGCTCTCTCCTCCTGTGTTTCCTTTCCTTTCCCATCTCACTGCTGCTGGCTGCTCCTTACCTCCTCTTATATTTCTTTTCCTCCTCTCATCCTTCCTTACTCCTATCTTCCCTATCTCCTCCTATCTTTCCTGTCATCTCTCCTTACCTCTTATATTTCTGTTCCTCCTCTCATTCTTTCTTTCCTCCTCCTACTTTCCTTTTTTCCTTTCCTTCTCCTATCTTTTGTGTCCTCTATCCATTTTTCTTTACCTCTTCTCTACCTTCCTTTCCTCCTCCCATCATACCTTCCCTCCTCCTCTCTTTCCTAGTATTTTTTTAGTAGTGAGTAATTAGATTACTTCTTAAAAGTGGTGAAAGGTATCATTTACAGTCTGGCAACCCCCACATGGTTTTATTTATGCCGAATAATGACTTATTACTGTTTAAAAAGAAACATGGCTTATTGAGTATTTATAAAGTCTGAGGTTAAAGAAATATGACTCATTGTAAAGTGGTATGAAAGCTGCTAAATCTTTATTTACACATCCTTAGATTGGGTTAGCTGCATGACATTACCAAGGACAACATTACAAAAGTATCGCTATGTTACACCGTAATGGCCTGTAGACCCGTCTGAGGAGTTATGAATCATCAAAAAAATGTTATGACCGGGGTCTCTGTATCTAGTTTTCTCTGTGTCTGTTTTTCATGCACACACACTCATAATTTCTGTTTCTACTTTTCTTGTTTGTCTCTCACAGACTGCAGACTGGAGTGTCCCGTTTGTAGGGAGGAGTATTCATCAGGGGAATCCGTCAGGAAGCTACCCTGCCTCCATTACTTCCACAGTGAATGTATAGTGCCTTGGCTGGAGCTGGTAAGGATCGAGGAGTGGATGTGGTCAGTGGGTTAACGGGTTTGAGAGTCTGTTAGATTTGTCATGAAGGTTTTAAGAGTGTGTCACACATCCTGACTTGAGGGCTGTGACGACAACACAGAAAATGTTTTTGTTACCTGAGGTTTTCTTGGGTTGTACTTTAGATGCTGTTATGCCGCTGACTTTTTGCCTGCAGCTTACAGTTTTTATTATTTTCTTTAACACATTTTTCCATTCAGAAGTTTCATTTTCAAAACAGCTCACACACAGGATTAAACTGAAAGTCACTGGCCAAAATGAGCACTCACTAAACATTAAAGCATGTGACAAAGCAAATATTTCCATCAAACAACGCAACTTGTGATTGAATTAATATATTCTTCCAACAATCATTGCCCATTGTACAACAGAATACAAAATAGTTATAAATAACTTAATTTGTGCTTCTTTGTTGATACTTTACATAGTTATAGTCAGTGGTGCCCCCAGAAATTCTTCATAGGGGTGTCCAGATGGGGCCCCTGAAAATCTTTGGGTGGCACACCAAAACCAAAAGTCGTACTGAATTTCATTCATTCTATTATGCTGTTTTAGTAAATAGGCTAGTTGAAAACTATGTCAAACTAATTATCTGACGTGAATAGACTTATACCAATACAGTTAACCTTTTGATTTCCACAACGATTCTGCTTTAATTCATTATATATCTATACATGTTTGGCAAATATAGAGCTTTATTTTTAAGGAGTACAATGATTGTAAGGAACAAAACATTTAATGGAAACAAGCCTTTTCAAGTTTAGGGGAGACTCGTGGGTACCCATAGAGCCCATTTTCATTCAGATATCTTGAGGTGAAAATTCAAGGGACCCTTTTGGAAATGGCCATGCTAAATGCTAAATGCTAAATTTGGAGGGTTATTTAGCTCCCTTCATGACAAGCTACGCCGGCATGGTTAGTATCACTGTATGCCTTGGGTTGTCTAGTTTCACAAGCTACCACTACCTTCAGTCTCATTTAAACAGAGCCTCTTGAAGACAGTAATGTCGGCCTCCAATTACTTGTGTTTCGAGGGGGGCCAGCAATTGTTTCAGGGGGGCTGTGGCCTCCTCTTGGGTGCGCCACTGGCTGTAGTGTGTGCCAAAAAACACAAGCAAGCATATCACAGCATGAACTGTTCTTTTCTCCAGAGATAATTTCAGTAGAGATAACAAACCCAGCTGCACTCTGCACCTGCACTTTTGTCATTTTTTGAGATGCCCTGTTGAAATACTGTATGCATATATGATTATATATATATTTACATACCTTCTGTCTCTTTGCTTGCCAATAGCAACACAGAGAAGTGGCATCTTTTATAGATGGATAAGGACTGACTGAAGAGTTGTGCAAAGGAGTTTCACACAGGTGTATTAGAGATTCATAAATAGCAAGCATTTTTTGTCAGCTATGAATAGATGTTTTTACTTACATATTTTTTTGGTCTTTCCGTGAGATCTGTGTTAACTGTTTTGAAAAAGGGTGTGAAAATGTGTGAAGCCAATGAAAAAGTGTGAAGACATTTGTAAGAGAAGACTTCTGCTGTGCTAAGAAGGTGATGATGAAGATCAAGTGGATCCCAGTTTCATTAAGCGTGTCTTAGCAATCAAGAAAAACTGTATTTTTTTTTGTCTCTCTCGCAGCATGATACATGTCCAGTGTGCCGAAAAAGCCTAGACGGTGTTGACAACAGCCTCCTGCCAACATCAGAACTCCCAGAAGCTCGCTCCATGAGGACAGAGCAACAGGAGAGGCAGGCGATCTGAGAAACAGGCCAAGCAACTCTACCTCCTTCACTGTCTTCAGGAGACACGCTTCTCACCTCAGACTTTTCCCTCCGCATTGACTGCTTCAAAATAAAATACATTACATGCATCACAGTCATAACTCGCAGCTTCAGCTCTCGCTTTATTCGACTCTACTAAGGAGCTTTTAGTTTTCTTCTCCAACACCTCCACCGTTTCTAAGCCACACACAAAAGGACTGTGCAGTTTGCAGACGAGATGTGGAGGTGATGTGTCCTTCTCGCTACATTGCCCTCTTAAGTGCTTTTCTGAATGACTGACTTTGATGTCATGAACTAATCACCGCTGAGCTGCCAGTGGTTGTCAAAATGATGGGAATTCAAAGAGTTATGAAGTAACACTTTTGCATTAAGGCTCTCGGTAAGACGATTTCTTCATGCAGAGTACTCTGTTTTTTCACCCAATCTGATTCAGCATTGATCTCCTCTCTATATTAAAGGCTAACCCTGTGATCCCCAACCTCTGCACCTTCTTTCATCTCCCTAATCATCAGTTGAATGCAGTTTTTTCAGACCTTAGCCCTCAATAGAATAGAGTACGACGGAAAAGTTAACTTGAATATTGCAGTATATGTATAGTCTACTCCAATTCAATTTAATCTAATAAAAATAGAATACAGCCTATATCAGAAGTGTACAGCATGTAGCCTATACAAGAGAAGAACTTGTTGGCTCCAAAGCAGAATACAGGGAAATAGAATGTAGTCCTAAAACAAGTCAGTTAATCAAGTAGTTGATAACAGATAATTAGTCATCATCATAATTTGGGGCGCCCTACCTGCTAGAGTGTGAGCCCCACGTAGTGAGGCTGTGTCCATACCACAGTGGCTGGGTTCAATTCCAACCCTGGGTCCTTTGCTACATGTTGTCCCCACTGTCTCTCCCCCCACTTTCTTGTTACTTTTCACCCATACTATCCTGTTAAGGCGGAAGGCCAAAATAACATTAATAATAATAATAATTTTAAAAAACAGTCTTTAATTTACTAAGCAAAAGGAGGAAGTGTTTTGTTGGTTCCAGCTTCTCAAATGTAAGGATTTCCTGCTTTTCTTTGATTTATATCATTGTAAACTGAACATTTTTTAAGGTCAGCCAAAAAAAGCAAATTGCAGAAATGATGTCACCTTGCAACATAACTTGTGATGGCCTTTTTTTCAAAAACAAATTTCTGATATTTTATAGACTGATTAATTAGTCTAACCAAGAGGGCCTTTAGGGAGTACCAGGGGGTCCCAAGAAAAATGGGGAGTAGTTTATTTCCCTATTTAAGTCAATATAGAGGTAAGCCTAATGTGAGTATGAGTCATAAAAGTAAGTATTCTGGTGATTCCTCCACCGTTTTTTCCTCAGCTGTAGTTAAAAGCTATAAAATTCTGGTCTTCATCATGTTTAACAACCAAAATCTTTTCAGATGGAGGTCCCTGAAGCGAAATCTTATCACATGGGGGTCCGTGACCTCATGTAGGCTATCGGCCAGACATGTCCAAAGTCCAGCCTGGGAGCCAGTTGTGGCTCATGGACTGATTTTAAACAGCTTGTCTTTCAAAGTATACTATATGTGGCCTACCACACAACTGGTTAATCAATCAAGTTTATTTTGCAATTTTTTCTGTCAACCTCACAATGGCAGGATATCATAGTTTGTCAACATGCAATAAGTAAAGGCTACACATGTGGAACTAATGTGCTTTCATAAACAGACAGTAAACAAGCAAACAAATGCTTACCTAGCAGCAGACATTTCCAGCCAAGTAGCAGACATGGCCACAGCAAATGTGTAAAGTTGACAGCAAGGGCCTCTGCTTTCAGTAGCAGTGACAAGTTTAATACTTTTTTTACTGAAAGATGAAATAGTTGCATTTCTCTCATTTGTGTTTTGTGTTACGTTTTCACAACCCCCAGGTATTTTATATTATCTTACTGGCAAAAATTTGGACACCCCTGCTATAGGCCTATCAATTTAGGCAGGTGTGTCCAAAGTCTGGCTTGGGGGCCAGTCATGGCCCTTGGCTTGACTTTTCAAGTATCCCATATGTGGCCCACTGCACAATATTGGTTAATCAAGCAATATCACTTTGCATTTTTCCCTTCACCTCACAATGGCAGGACTATCATATAATGTGCAGACATTACAAGTAACATGTTTTATTAACAGACAGTAAACCGCGAAGAAGTGTGAAGTTGACAGTGTGGACTGCTGCTTTCAGGAGTGGTGGAAAGTTGAATGCATTTTCACTGAAAGATGAAACAGTGTTTGTCGTATGTTTGTGATTTTTTTTAATAACCCATTTTATGCGAGAAGCAGCTGCCTCCAGGTATTTTCACATTATCCAATTAGGCCCCCATTTAAAAAAAAGTCTGAACACCCCTGAATTTAGGGGTCATTGACACAAAAAGGTTGAAAACCACTGCTCTACTGAAATAGAGCAAAACCTACAATAGAATATATTTCACATCTGACAAAAGCCGAATGCAGCAACAAATAAAAAAGAGTAGAGGACAATATAGCACCACAACTATTGATTATAGTTTTTTTTTTAGTTTCTTAATTGGCAAAAAAGTGAAAAATGGCCATCACTATATTCTAAACTACGGAAGCGTATTGCTGCCACATCAGGCAAAAATAATGGATCAGTATTACGTTATTACGTGAAAAGTTTATTGTTCTAACAAGAAGTTTTTCACATTATAACAATAAAGTTTCACGTTATAACGTGATAATTTATTTTGTAAAAGTGTGAAAAGTTTCACATTATAACATGATAATTTATATTGTAAGAATGTGAAAAGTTTCATGTTATAACGTGATAATTTACATTGTAAAAATGTGAAATGTTTCATGTTATAACGTGATAATATATATTGTAAAAACGTGAAAAGTTTCACGTTATAACAATATAGTTTCATGTTATCCGTGTTTTGGGCCATGTTGATGCCTGTTCATTGCAAATAGCCAAGTGTCAAATCACAACCGGAGTATATGTGCACCACCTGAACAATTTAAATGATCATGTTGTAACGTGAAAACATTCTTAAGATATAAATTATCACATTATAACCTAAAACTTTTCACGTTCTTATATAAGTTATCACATTTTAATGTGAAAATATATTGTTATAATGTGAAAAACGTCTTGTTAGAACAATAATCTTCTCACATTATAACATAATACTGACCCATTATTTTTTCCTGGTGTGGCAGTAATCTGCTTCCGTAGAATCCTCAAATGGACACCTTCAGATTATTATTTTTGTGAGCCACATTCAAAAACCCAATGATAGCCTATTTAATTTACAATGATGGAAAATGGAGAAAAACAAACAAAACAAAAAAAATCACTGATTAATTATTTAAAAAATGTTGCCAGCTGATTTAATGTCAACGCACTGATCGATTCATCGACTAATCGTCTCAGCTCCAGCAGAAGAGGAAACCTCACATCCTTATGGAGCAGAATGATTTATTTATAGGCTAAAGTGCTCCCGTTGCCTCCTCCTGTCTGTAGGCTACTGTTTATATACTGTAACGTTATGTTGACACTAGGCACCGCCAGTTTGACAGTTGACTGTTGCATACCAGCAAACACACCCTCGACCGGCCCAAAAACACAGCTCCCCGGGCAACCGAAAATAGTGAAATAATGAAACACAGACATTTTTGTCAATGACCAGGGACCGCAAGAACCGCGTACGACCGACATTTGCTCTCCTCTCCTTTCCTCCCCTCTCCCCTCCGCCCTCCTCGGTCCGTCCTCCCCTCCCTCCCTCCCTCCCTCCCTCCTCTCTGGGACTGAGAATGCCCGTGTTGTACTGACACAGTAGCGATACGGGCTGAGTAGACATGGAGGCCCGATTAACGAGAGAGGCCCGTGCTGACACATCCAGGCCTAGCTAACGGCGTGTCGGAGTGGATTTCGGAGCATCTCGGGAGATATTACGGATACCAGTTGCTGTAAGGAAAAAAGGATTTTAACACCGAGGAGGAAGAAATAGAAGGAGATCCATTTCGGGTCTCTGTTGATTCAACGCAGCCGCCATTTTGTTGACAGTTAGTGTTTTTTTAATAACCTACACGGCGCTGCATCTGTTATTTTACACCGCTGGAATTTAACTCGCCATTATTTTTTATGCGTGTGTATTTCTGTCGATTTAACTGTGCGTTTGTCCTTAAACTAATGTCGGGGGATTATTCTGGTTTAGCTGACATGCTAGTGCATCGTTAGCCGTCGTAGCTGAGATGTAGTAACACGAGTGCCTACGAGAATGTGACGGAGATGTAAGATTATGTGCATCACTTGTCCGGGGTTGTGTCATATTCACTCGGTTTACACAGATTGTTTGGAAGCTGTAGGCGTTTGCGACTCATTTGCAGCCTACATACAGTGTAAGTTAAAGCTGTGCCGGGCGAAATTTGCCTAAATCGCTCTCAAACAGGCTGCTGATAGATGGCTAGTTAGCCGCTGCCAGTGCCATTGATACAAAATGTAGCACAGGCTGTCTATTATTGGACGGATGGTAGCTACTGGCTTGTTACAAAATAAACACAAACCTTTCACAATGCGTGGGTTTTATTGAGCGCCAAGTGGCCACGCAATTCCCTTTACTTTACCGCCTTGTCTGTTATTATCTTACACATTATGGAAATGCATATTTTGGGGGGGATGCTTTACATGCTGGCACTCCACCATCACAACTTTGTGTTTTGGAGCTGGCAAGGTTAATCAGTTTTTTCGTAGATGGTCAGGAGCTGTGTGCATTGATTTCTGATTGGGATTTGGGGCTGCATTCAAGATTATTACCCTGTTATAACCTGTTTGGCACATCTGAAAACAGCAGAAACGTTTGTAATACAATTGTAGCTTGGACACTTGGGACAAAATATCAGATTGTCGCTTTAGCTCATGCCTTGGATTTATGTCTTTCAAAGCAACATCGATATAAAGCTCAAATCTTACAGTTTTCATGTTTTGGTTTTTGGCAATTCAGCACTTGGAAGATAAAATATGTGGCCACCACGTTGATATACACGAAGGGAGGACACAGCCAAATAATGTGAACACCGTTTCTGGACAATTACAGAGGTGAGTGACTATTATGATATGATGCATTTTAATAGGTTTTCAGACTGATTTGTTGTTGTTGCCATACTAGCATAGAAGTTAGTGTTATAAGTCCCTTCAGCCGATTTGTATTGAATGTTTACACGCATGTCAGTGTTTGCTAAATTATTTCTCGGCTGCATGCATTGCAGTGTCACCTTAAAACTGCAAGAGCATGTCTCTGAGGCCGGATTTCCTTTTCATACACACAGTTATTATGATTACTAAACACGGATGAATTTGCGGAGTTGATATGAGTAAATTAAGGGTGATGCGTTCACAGACACGAGTTAGTCCCTTGAGGGGCAGTGTTGACTGTACAGGAAACCGAAAGCAGATAACGTTATTTGGTTTGCTCAGC